GTCCTCCCGCGGCCACGCAACAGCGGTTGAGGTGGGGTTCGGCGCCGGATCAAGGTGGCGGCGTCGTTCACGAGCTCGGGCAGGGCATCCATGGCCGGAGCGCCGGAGCACCGGCGACACGCGGACTTGGGGACCCCGGAGACGGCGCTGGAGGTGTGGATCCAGTGTGAAGGTGGGGTTCGGCGCCGGATCAAGGTGGCGGCCTCGTTCACGAGCTCGCGTAAGGCATCCATGGCCGGAGGGCCGGAGCACCGCGGGCGGGCAGGCCGGCGAGACGCGGGTCCAATCCTACGCCGGTAGCTGCTCTGCCTTCCCCTTATTTTTTAAGTGCTTTGAACCAGATGGAGTCAATCCGTGATCAACGCTTTAGTACCACCTCATGTATATATTTTAAATTCAAACTCAAAGCGTAAATTCACGAGAAGAAAGCGTATTGTGACGGTGAACCCACGGAGTCAATCCGTGCTTTATTATTAGGGATGGATTAAATCGGAAACTCCGTAATGATGGGATAAAAGGAAAGGATTCAAAACTTTATTTTGGTGGAGCTTAATATGAACAGTATGGATTTAGTGTTGCATATATAAGATAAGCCTCATTAGTTCGAGTGGCTTGAAAATTCCAGTCTCCTAAATTACACTTATTTTTGCAATGTTCATATATTTTTTAATTTTTAGTGTGTTTTTGGGTTCATATGTTACATAACCTGTAGAATATGATGTTCGACATTGATCCAAGAGATTACAAACATACAATTCACAAAGAAAATAAGAGCTTACAAATAATAATAGTACACTTACAGGAGGGGCTATAAAATTTCATTTAGGTTTTTTTAATCATTTATGCCATTAGTTATGTTCCCACTACTCAGTTTTGCCACTAGGAATTTCAACTTCTCAAAACTTCCATCAGTCTGTTAGGCGTTTGCTCAAAAATGGCACTAGACACCATCACTGTCAGCTCAAAGTTTGTTTATCATGTTACAATGATCAAAATACCCATGGACCAACATGTCAGCACTCCTTCTATCTCACTACGATAATGTGTGGGTCCCACTTGATCCCAACAGTGTTCTTATTTTCTTGTAGAATTATTCGCTTGCTTACTCCCGACAAGTGGGGCTCAAACTTATCATTATGAGATAGAGAAACTAACATGTGGGTCCAGGGGTATTTTGGTCATATAACATGGTCAACATGTTTGACCCGGCAATAACAGTGTCTAATGATATTTTCGAGGAAACATCTAATGGAACAATGGCGTTTTTAGGTTTCTAATGGCATTTTTTAGCAAGCATCTGACGGAATGATGACATTTTTAGTAGTTGTGACTTCTGATGGCCAAACTGAATAGTGGAACACAACTAGTGTTATAAATTATAAAAACCCTTATGACCTGATGTGGAAGAAAGCAGATGGATGGTTGAAATCGGCAGGGCCGGGTTGAAATTAGGGAGCAGGTTTACAGAAAGTATAATCAAGGGGGACGATCTTTGTGTAGGCTAATTCCGTAAGTCTAGCATTTTTGGTTGAGATTTACGGGAAGTTCTGGAAAGTTAAGATGACCAGATCTTACAAGCTCGTAGAATAATAATCTTTAACATGAATATGAACACAAGAATTGCAGTTTCAGCAGTTCAGCCGAAGCGTGTTTATGTCTCGCTTATAGCGACAAACGGTTGCCTCACCCGCGAGCATGCTACAGGCCACTGGTGGGTTGGCCCAGTAAGGACGTGGGTCGCCACACTAACATCACTTAACTATGTTTTACCTTTTTTCCTTCTTTTTCTAGACTAAAAAAACCTTTTTTTCTTCTCTTTTTTACTTTTATTTATATTTTAAATGCATATATTTCAAAAAATTAAATTTACATAGATATTCAAAAAACCATGAATATAAAATATGTTAAGATAGTATAAAAAAGTTTAGTGGAGTTTAAAAAATGTTGATAACTTTCAAGAAAACTGTTTGTGAAAATGAAAAAATGTTCCTGTGTTTCAAAAAAATGTATGTGAAAGTTTTAAAAAATGTCTACACAATGTAAAAAATTATTTCGTATCAATAAAAAAATGTACATGATATTTAAAAATATACTCCTGCATTTAGAAAAATGTCAGTGACATTTAAAAGATGTTTGTACAATGGAAACAAGTATTCACGTAGGTTAAAGAAGGTTTATTTCCATTAAAAATGTATGTGATATTTTAATAAATATTCATGTGTTTAAAAATATTTATAAAATTTTAAAAATGTTTGTGTAGTTTAAAAAGGATGTTTATTGCTATTAAAAACTGCATAACGTGTATTTGAAATTTGTTCATGTATTTAAGAAAAATATACATCATTTATTTTAGAAATATCCAACTTGTATCAAAAAAATGTTTCACATGTGCGCTATGAATGTAAATTATGTACTGTGAAAAGATAGACATGTATTAAAAAACTAATAAAACCAACAAAGAAAATAGAAAAACAAAGAAAAGCCATAAAACCTAATTACAATGAAGAAAGAAAGAAAAAACAAAGAGAACCAATGAATGAAGAAAACTAAAGTAAGAAGGGGAAAAAAAGGAAAAACAAAACAAAAGAAAATGAAGAAAATTGAATCAGCACGAACCTAGAGCCACACGAGCGGCAGCTAGCGAACTGCTAGCCGGTAATCGGCACTGGCGAGACGTGGGCTTTTAAGCTGGTTGGTCAGTCCATACAGCGCCTAGTCAGTCGCTGGAGAGCACCGCAGACTGAGGGAGAAAGAAAATGCAGCTCCGGTCGTCGGATTGGGGCCTGGTTGGCGGCATAGCGCCTGGCTGCCGGCGGCAGGCCAGCGCGGCGAGCGTTGCGGGTACGCACGCATCCGGTGGCGCAGCTGCACATCGATCCCTTTCGTGAGGCCATTCGAGTTTTAGGCGAGGATCTTGGCTGGGCAGGCGAGTTGTTTGATGAAATGCTCAGGTGAGCCCCCGCACCGCGGAGAGGAGTTCGATGGCGCCTAGGCGGGTGCTGAGAAGCATTGAGGTAATTTCCTTTTCTCTAGGTTTTCAAATTGCCACTGCCTGGTTGCCTGGAGACCTGCGGCGAGGGTGGTCAACTGGGCATCTCCTTGCCCCAGATGGCACGGTGCAAGATGGTGACTATTTGACCAGCTTAGTCCACCGACATCACTATTGGCATAGTAGTACATAGGATCAGCATAGGACATGGGGTATCTATCTCCTTGCCCTGGATTGGATGGCACGGTGCAACGACCAAGTGACCAGCATAGCGATCGATGCCCCATAGTCCATGAGCGTCATTATTGGCATAGACAAGTTGGACAAGAGCTTCCATGTAAACCCGGAAATTGTCACACCACTGATTATGCCACACTCGGTTTCCCTTCCCTTCTTGCTACGGCAGAGTTTTCCTTATAGTACTAAATAGATATGTTTGAGCTGAAGTTTAATAACAAAATACTGCTTTCGGCGCCGGACCAATAAAACCTATTAGCACTGGAGACTTAAGTCAACTTAGTGGACCAAAGTTTTTTTTTTCTACACAACTTATATAGGAGATCGATTACTAGTATCACCATTGTGTAGCTAGTTCCCAAGCCAAGCCAACCTAACAACAACAGCATGTCTGCTCATGCAACTTCCGGTAAGCCTGTATCTCGCAGGCCACAAGCAAAGCTCGTCATGCCAGCGCTGATGGCCCTTGAGCTCATCGTGGCAACAGTCGCGGCTGTCCCACTAGCTTTGCCTGGCTGCCCGGAGGCCTGCGGCAGGGTCACCGTCCCCTACCCTTTCGGCTTCCGGCAAGGCTGCTTCCACGCGGGCTTCAACCTCACCTGCGACCACACACGCCACCCTCCGAAGCTGCTCCTGGGCGATGGCGTGGAGGTGGACGCCATCTCCCTGGCGGACGGCACGGTACGTGTCCAGAGCAAGACTGTGAGCGCTACGTGGTCCGACCCTATCAGAAACGACACACGGACGCCATCTCTCATAAACTCCAACGGCTCGTGGGTCGGCGGCCTTACGGGTACCGGTGGGCAGCAGCTCGCGGTGTCGTCGGAGCACAACGTATTCGTGGTCATCGGATGCAACTTCATCGGCTACCTCGTTGCCCCAGACCCTTTTCGCAGCGCTCCGGAGCACATCAGTGCCTGTGCCGCGCTGTGCGATAGGTCTCCGGGCACCGAACTTGAGGAGTACACCTCGTGTTCGGGCGTTGGCTGCTGCCGGACGATGTTCAAGGGTGATTTGGACAATACAGAGGCCGTGTACCAGGTGATGTTCAAGCATTTGGTGCACGATACGGAGGTCGTGTACCCAGCGTGGGACACACCGTCGGAGTCGGTGGCCGCGTTCATAGTCGATCGAGAGTGGTTCAACGGGAATGCAGGAGTGATGCTTAATAACACCTTCGGTTCTTATGACCACCATTGGGGAAGTCTAAGCCCCGTAGCCGTACCCACCGTATTAATTTGGTGGCTGGAACAAGACCGAGACCGTGATATAGTGTTCTACGATCCTAATGTCTCTCACTGGAGATGCCTAAGTTTGAACAGCGTCGTTACCTACGTTAATGGATTTGCAATAAGGTGCAGTTGCTTGGACGGATACGAAGGCAATCCTTACATGCGTCAGGGATGCCAAGGTACCGCTACACACTCACCTCCCCCTATTTTCCATCCAGTGGCTGACACTTCTTACTGTATCTAATATCTATATTTGTGTGGGAGAGTATAAATTAAAACTCATGAGTTTGGGCTCTGATGGTAAGCAAATCTCATGATAATTAATAATAACCTCTAAAAGGAAATTCAATCCTAGAATCTCTTCCGAGAGAAAAGGGAGCTTCTATTTTTGTGGGGGTTAAGTTAGAACATGTGAATTAATAGATAAGAATAATGTATGGAGTAAAATTAATTTCATCCATTAAGTTCCCTTGTAACACAAGAAGATCACATTAACCAGTTCAGTCACCATGTAGTAAATGTGGTCTGTTATGTCAAACTCAAAAGATGAGGCAGTTCAACCACTTTAGCAAAGATTATTGTGTGTTCTAGTAAGAGCTAAGACTGTCTTACCTATGAAATTTCATCTTCCCAATATAACATGCCATCCTGCTAAAGAAATTCTGCCCTGCAACTTTAGTCACTACCAGTGGCGGAGCTTCATGGGGGCCAACCTGGGCCATGGCCCCCCTAGCTCACAAGAAACCATGCATATGTTTCTTGGTATTAGGCCTATTTTCCATAAAAAATAAGCTGAAATTTGT